CTGTGCATCATCATCTTTTAGCTATGATGATAAGGGTTGGGGGAGAAAGCAGTTTATTTTCTAATGCAGTTTGGAAAGTGCTAAGACTACTTCAGTTCCATATTGTTAATCAGTCTCAGCACTGGCTAATGAAGTTTATTATAGCAAAGTAGCATACAAAGTGGTTGGGACCAACAAAAAAATACTTTGAATTTTAAAATACTAATGCTGCAAAACCTTCCCTATTCAACCACCCAAGGACCTTGTAAAATAGAATAGGCATCTTTTAACCAAATAGTGATACAGATTGTGATACTGAAAAGTGGAGAATATTTTTCTATCTTCTTATTTGCATCACAGTGGGTGCATCTACATGACATGCTAACTGTGCAGTAGCCTAATAATACTGTGCAGTAGCGCAACACAGCACAAACAGTGCTAATATGCTACTGTGCAGTATTATTAGGCTACTGCACAGTCGCATCACTAAAAAGACATTTGCCTGGCACTACCATGCAGTGACTCTGGTTACTGCACATTTATTTAGTACTTGATTATACAAGTACTAAATTAAATGCACAGTAACTACTGTACATTAATGAATGTGTAGACATGCCCAGTAGCATATAGATAGACTGACCATATGGGGCAATGTGAAATCCAAGACACTGCCCCCTTCCCCTCTCCCCTGCTCCTCACCTGTCAAGTCAGCAGCTCTGCTGCAGAGGCAGGGACAGGGCAATGCAATGAGCACAATATTCAGGCAACCAAGGGAGTCAATAGACTGTGCATGAACCATTGTTCTTTATTTTACAGATATTAATCATCTCCCCTTTTTAACAGTCATTTCACTAATCAAGCTAACCTATTTTAAGCAACTTTGATGTCTGCTAGGGCTTCCTATTTCACAACTAGTGCTACTCTTCCTCCCTGCGCTGTGCCTGGGATGCTCATTTTTATTTTCACCAGCCAGCCAGGAGTGACCTCCAAAATCCAGAAGTGTTCCAGCCAAACAGGGATCTATGGTCACCCTACACATAGAGAACTAGTTAATTTCAGAGCCCCATTGTATGGGGGACTCTTGCAACAGCTAGCCAGGGACAGTCCCTGCCCTGCAGAGTAGGCATTTTAAGACATGACAAAATAAACATATATAACAAATATTCAGAAGAGACAGCTACTTCACTGATGGGTTGTTTGTCTCCTGGAAATAGTGCTAGTTTAACTGTTGATAAATAGTGCATAGCAAAAGCAGAAATTCTATAGCCAACATTATTATATTTTAAACATTATAGTACCATTTTTCACCATGAACTTTCTTGATTACAACATAATGGGCATGTCTATGTGAGACATTACTTGGGCAGTAGACTAATTAGCTGAACAGCAAACATCTCGGCATCTATACATACACCCCTATTAGGCTAGAGTAAACTAATTTACTCCTGAGCAGGACAATACTTGTAAATAACATTGCTCTAGAATAAAAAATTCCATAGCAGCACATGCGTAGATGCTGACCTGGCTGACTGGGGCACAAGGGTGCTTCAGCGTGGTGACTGCCTGCTGGCTAGCTCCACGCTGAAGTACCCTCATGCTCCAGCCAGGCCCTCCACAGCATGATGAGCCAGGGGGAGCAGCCCCAGGTTGATAGGTTGACCCTCAGGCTCCGTGTCAGCCAGGGCTGCTCCAACCTGGCTCAACATGCTGTAGTCCCAGGCACATGTTCTAACAGCAATAAATTCAAGTTTTTATTGCTCCCAGGCACATGTTCAAGCAGTGTACCCAGGAGCATTGAACTCCGGAGCAATAAACCCCAGAGATTATCACTTCATATTAAATGTAAGTGTAGATGTGCCCAATGTGAAGGAAGACCATTCTCTCCATGCAGCCTTATTGGTATTAAATTAATCTGAGGAAAGTTAGCTCATTCAACAGTTAGACACATTCAACAGTCTTCATTAGCACATGAGAATAATGGGAAAAGCACTGCATTAGATACTTCTCTTGCCAAATGACTATTAGCTCAGAATGATCATGTCTCAAAAGTTTTCAAATTGTGTTGTAACCCCTTGCCATATAGATAGGTGAAGAGGGGATTAGAGAGTAGTCATGTAAGTTTATTTTTTCTTGAAAATCAACTCGTCTATGCAGAACAGATCCAGGTAACATGCTTCAAAGAAAACTAGGGAGAATGCACTATGAGGAGAAGGATCCACTACCCAAAGACACCTATTCTAAAAGGATGCATTGCCTCAGGGACCACTGCAGTCCTGAGGCAGTAGTTGCAGACATGGAGCTGTCTAACTGCTCATTTTTCACTCTGTTAGGGAGAGGTCCTTTCCAAGCTAATCCCTATTGAGGTAATGTGCAGCTTGTTTGCTTGGACTGTGTATAGGGTCTGGAGAGAAGAGAAGCCTTTAAAAGCAAGGTATGAAAAAAGACTTCATTTTTATTTCTCCTTTCATTTGTATTTGGCTATGTCTAAGTAAAAATGCCAGAGCTTGTGCACAAGTGTATGCTCAAAAAGAATTCTCTTCAATAAAGTTTCAATATAGTATCTTTTCTTTAGACTTAGAATAGGCACTATTTCAAATGTTTTCCATGAATTTTGAGCTCTTTCCATAAATGTTGGTTGAAAATAGCTATCCTTTGTACTGTTAAATCCAGCTACCTTCAGACTCAAAATACAGGCAATTTTTTAATATTTTCAAGATATTATAAATTAATTTGGGGTGTTTTCTTTTTTGATAGTTATTTTTCTAATGGAAGTTAATTAAAATGAAAACATTGAGAACCTTGTGTATTTGCAATGACAAATAATTTTTACCCAAAAGAAGATTGAACCATTTCTGGGGAAAAGAAAAAAAAAACAGTAAAGCAAAAGAAAACAATGGATCAAGTTTCAATGAAATGATGTGAAAAAAATGCCATTAACTAGATTTACGATTAAAGAGGTTCTTTGTTTGAAGGTCATTCTAATACATGAGCAGTTTAAGGCCTTGTACAGACATTCAGTTTGTCCTGGGAGAGTTTCTACTCTCCCAAGGGAAACCACAAGTGTATAGATATTGAGATTTTCTCCTAGAGCAAAAATGATCATTCCAGGAGAAAAATAACCTGGGAACAACCAGGGTTAAATCACTCCCAGGAGTATTTCTCCTGGAACAATGAATGTCTATGCATTCTGTGGCTTCTTTCAGAAAAGAACATAGTTGCCCTGCCCCTCTGCCACCCCAAGGGAAACAGTATGTCACTCGCTGGACTCTGTTGCTTTAGCAGAAAGAGAACACACCCTCTTCACAATCCCCTCATTGTGCTACATGGAAACACAGACTAACCACAGACAATCTAGGTCAGCCAGTCAAGGCTGCCCTATGCACTGCTGCCATGTAGTGCCAAGGGAGCCTACAGAGCATGCTGAGATGTGTGCATAGGGCTCCCACTCCACACTCCAGTTACACAGTGTCAGCAGAGCAAGATCTCTTCAGGACCACAGAACAAGGAACAATGGTCTCAAGTTACAGCAAAGGGAGTTTAGGTTAGATATTAGAAAGAATTTTCTCACAAGGAAGGTAGTGAAACACTGGAACAGGTTACCCAGAGAGGTGGTGGAAGCTCCATCCTTGGAGGTTTTCAAAACCCAGCAAAACAAAGCTTTGGCTGGGATGATCCTGCTTTGGGGATGATCCTGCTTTGAGCAGGGGGTTGGACTGGATGACATCCTGAGGTCCCTTCCAACCTTAACTTTCTATGATTCTATAAATTAAATGTCTGTACATGTGGTTATTATTTAGGTTCTCTACCAGAAGAACAAACTTGTGAAAATTCTCCTAGAGTATCTAAAAGTGTGTATGCAACTTAATTATAGCCCAACTTAGTGTATTCTGGTTAAGTACGCCGTTCAAGCACCTTTGGACAGCAGAATGCTGAAGGCTAGGTAAGTATAGTGAATAGCTGCAAACATAAATCTCAGCAGCAGCATCTATAAATGTAAAACCCTGGGTTGACTTGTTTCTCCAAAAATCCAGCTGTCCTAAAATGTAACAGGATAAATGAACAGGAGATAAATGTGAATGAGTAGATAAAGAAATCCATCCAAGTGTTTAAAAAAAATGTCAGGCACTAAAGTGAGCACAATAAAATGTGCAGATAAGGTAAATAAGAGAAGTTAGAAAGAAAGTAATAAGGTCACTGATTTTAGACGTGTGAAACAAACTTGATGAAATCTTCTGAAAATCCTAAAGAGTGGAAATAACCAGAAGTAATGGAAAGACAATATTTAAAACAAAGTTAAAAACCTTACTGCATTTCAAAGCTGGAACAGAAAACTTTGGACCCAATGTTCACCATCCTCTATTTGAAGAAGGCAGCATATAAATATTGTGATGATGCTGTAGGTTGAAAAAACTGTACAATAGCCTCCTTCTCCTCAATTATGCTATCACTACTAGCTACATCTACCCACACGCAGAGTTGGACACACTTTACATCTTTCAGTTTGGGCTTATATGAAGAATGGAAAGTTATGCTTGAACTGCTACAGGGCAATGTAGGAGAAAGGGACTTTCCACCTCCTCACGGAAAATAAAAACATATATTCTACTTGGTCACTTGCTGTTTGGTTTTACTACCAAGAATTTAAGAAATGATTGACCCTGAGGGCTGTTATTTAGGCTAATAGCTCCTGTGATCATTTCTGTAATGATCATTCCTGACACCAAAATAAAGTGTGAACTTACTTGGATGGTAGATTCATCTAAGTATTGTATTTTTTACCAACAGGACAACAAGGCAATGATATCAGTCTGGATGTGTTTTTATACCAATAGATATTGCCTGTTCAAGGGTGTGTTTTTGTACAAATGATTTGTTTCTGGAAGAAAAAAGATATCTCATTGTTCCCTTTTACAATAGACTCCCCCTACATTTGTCTAGCATAGATTAAAGAGAGAGAGATCATCCTACACATTTCAGAACCCATCTTTAGTGGGTAAATTCAGTACTTGGACTTATTATACCTTACTAAGCTGTTAGCACTGTCGGGATCTTGTGCTGTCACAGTGCCAACAACAGTCCCGATCTTTGCATTTTCATAAACTTCCATAGTGTAGGAAGGCATGGTGAAAAGTGGAGGTTCATCCACATCTCCAACAATGATCTTCAGCATAGTTACATCCTTAAATGGTCCCAAATGTGAGAAGCGAAAGTCAAGGTGGGTATTTGCACCTTCTATATTAAGTGTATAGGATTTCTTCTTTTCATAGTTCAGTGGCTGTTGAAAGAAAAGAGACATGACATTACCATAGTATGCTTTGACTTAACTGGCTCACAATAAAATTTTCTTTTCAACTTGTTGGAAAGACTGTAACCTATGGGTCAACTGTCCTAACATGGTAGATACTTCTGCATATAGTAATGTGTAGATACACATAGTAGAAAGCAAAGATATCTCAGGAAACACAGACCAGACTGTAACAGAATGTGGTTGTCACAGATTCACACCAAAACCAAGCTGCCTCTGGGATTCACCATGTGAAATCAAATCCTGAATAGAAAAGGTATTGGAGAAAAATGGCCCACCAGCCAACAGAATTCCAGGTACCCCAGGGTGACCAGAATTTTTTAGAGGATTCTGGTGACTCATGAGAATGCTGACTGGGGGTCAGGTGATGGTAGTTAGAAGTGATTTAGGAAGTTATCTAGGTAATATATTTTGTCTTTGGATGATCCTAGGTTTGGGGAATCTAAGGTTCCTAGCTGTCATG